GATGGGAATTGCAGTTCAGAAGCTTGACAAGTTCACTCTGAACCTCTCCTGTTGCTTGATTTACCTCTCTGGTACTGTATCATGCAGTTTTGGTCAAATGAAATTTGAAGTCCCTCTGCCTGATGTAGCGATAAAGGAATCTGGTATGTATGGCCTAAGAAGGGTTCAGCTGTTGGTTCCCGTCGAACAGCATGCTGCAGTGGAAAAAAAATGGAAGTTTGTATTCCAGCATTCAGATTCTCAGTGCAATATTGCTGGTCAGAATACAAAAAAAAAAAAATTGTCAAATATTTTTAGGTTGGATATTTTCTCTGAGTTTCCTGGATAGAAGATTGAAAATTTATGTGACTAGAAAATTGAAAATATCTGCCATAGTTTGGAAATGCTCTTTCATATGTACGAGSTGGGACCAGAAACCAACTTGCCTAAATTCTGACCTTGTTGCAAATTCAATCTCAGTTTACAATACTTACCAGGTTTGCTTAACCCTGTAAGTAACTCTTCCTTAAGTGTCTCCTGGTAAGTCTGAGAGGTCTTCAGATGCATACCCTGTTTCACCAACACAGGGTTAAGAGAGACATTTCAGGGAGACAGGTGCTTGTATCCTTCCTAGGCTCTGCTTTGGATGGGTTGAGTTTAGTCCACTGGAGAAGCCTGGAAAATCAGGTCTCATCAATACCGCTGAAGGCGGTGTCTTCTCCTGAAATAAAAAAGTGGTTGGAGCACTGCTCTGAGAAGGAGTGCCCAGGGCACTTCCAGAGGGAATGCAACCTGGGTAGGTCATGGTGTAAAAGAGGGAGCAGGTCATGGGCAGAGTGTTGCTGGAGCAAGGYGCACAAGAGACCTAGGGCCAAAAAGCAAATGAAAGAGGGAGACTTCTGTGGTTTAGGATTATGCAGAGACTTTGCCTCTTGTGTGGGTTAATGCATACACACTGCAGGGAGAAGGAGTGTTAGATCCAGTTCTCCATACCTGCAGATTCGTCTGGCTGCTTCCCAGCTGCTGTGGATTTGTCCTGACATTACACCCAACTTGTCCCCCGACATTACACCCAACTTGTCCCCACCTTGGGCCAGGAGACAGCAAGATTGATGTTACCAGATACCTGAGTCCTTGTGGCACCTCTCAGGGGTGGTAGCTGCCCCCCTAGCCACTTAATTCATTGCTTCCCACTTCATCCATGAGTGTTTGTGTCACTGGATCATAGAACCACAAAATCATTTAAGTTGGAAAAGACCTCTAATATCATMGAGTCTGAGCATTAACCCAGCACTGTCAAGTCTACCGCTTGTCCCCACGTGCCACATCTATGTGCCCTTTAAATACCTCCAGGGCTGGGAACTCCAGCACTTTCATGGGCAGCCCSTTCCAAAGYTTGACAACCCTTTTAGTAAAKAGATCATTYCTAGTATCCAATCTAAGCATCCACTGGTGCAACTGGATACAAGTGCTATCACTTGCACTTGGGAGGAGAGACTGACCCCCACCTGGCTACACCCTCCTTTCAAGCAGTTGTAAAGGGTGATAAAGTCTGCCTGGAGCCTCCTTTTCTCCAGGCAAAACACCCCCAGCTCCCTCAGCCACTCCTCATCAGATCTCTACACCTTTCACCAGCCAGGCAGCTYTGGATGCCAAGAGGGAGCACCTCTGCAGGCACTGCTGTTCCCTACAGTAAGAGTGGAGGAAAAGAATGAGGAAGGCAAGATCGTCCTCCACAAGTTTCTCAGAGGTGGCTGTCTGTCTCCATGCACACAGCAAGGGATGTAGAAAACTRGGATATACAGGCAGGTACCTGTCCTGTCTGTCCCCAGGCCAAGGCAGCTTCCATTTCAGAGAAGTCACAYCGAAATGAGGTAGCTGGCATGAGCAGACTTGACAGAACACACTGGTTTCTTTCAGATTGTCTTACTAATGAAAATGTCCTGGTTTTTGGGCAGGGAAAGGAGGGGAGGAAGAACCACAGGGCAGGATTGCTATTCCGCTTTACAGGACTTTCTTGTATCTCTGCTCAGCAATATTGCATCAGCAACAGAATGAAAATAATGTGCAGGGAAGTACCCATGCAAAGCTCAATCATAAAATATCAGGGTCACCTTCCACTCCCAGCTTTTAAASGTTGAGTGAAACATCTCCTGAGCATTTGGGCTGACTGCTTTAACCTGTCATGGGTGGTTAATACTACTAGTAGAGGAGTAAAAATTTTAGAATTGAAAAATACTCTTTCAATCCTGGTGGTAATCACCCCTTAGCAAAATTAGTGCTTTGCCAACTCAAAGAGACCTAATCCCCTTCTGTCATAGGAAGAGAAAAAAATGTAATAGCTGTGAGAACTGTGAASCTTATTTTCAAATAGATGCCTCAGCATTTTTATATTTTCTGTGGGATTAACTAGTAACACAGGAAGGCTAATACATATGCAGAGATTTCATTTGCTTCTGTAACAATTTGCTGGGGGCAAATTGAACTGTGTCATGAGAAATGGTGTTGTTTTCTCTCCTTCTTTGTCAGATGAAGGAAGAAGACTTGTTAGTAACATAGAAACAATTTGCAACTTATCATCATTTCAGGGAAAGTTTCTCCTTGCGTCATATTTCTGCTTAAGTTTCTCTTTTTCTTACCCAAACAGAAAGGGGTGCCATTTTAGAAGCACAGAAGACACATAATGAATCACATAAGTGTTGCAGCAAAAGAATCTTTGCTAACATAAAATAGAACTGAATTTTCTGTACTGCTCTTACACTCTCATAGTTGCTGCTAGCTCAAAAAGCAGAGATGATTTGCTCTACTCTGTGTGTAACTCTGGCTCCCAAGGATGGCTTTGTGCTGTGCCTCTGAGGCTGCTTCTGTGAGCATCTGGTGCTGATGGGCACAGGCAGCGATGGCTGCAGAATACTAATGCTGCCACTGGCTCCCACAAGGCTCTTCTTCTGAAAAATGCTTTAGCCATTCAGTGTCCATGCACCATGCTGAGCAACAGGAGGGCAGAAAAGCCGCGCTCAGGGATTTTTTTTTTCAATGCAGAGCAAGAAGCCGACAGCAATGATGGCTCTCTGCTTCACATTGTTGCTCCCAGGCTTCTTTCAGAGCTGCAGTCATTTATTTGCATAAACATCAAGCCTGTCACTTGTTGCAGGCTTTGATAGTATTTCTGTAACAAAGGAATTGGAGAAAAAAGCTGAACATCTTCTATTCCAGTCTTAGAAAATGAATGACTGCATGGTTATGGTGATTACTTTATTTTAGATTTTATTAGATAACTGTCCCCTGCAATTTGTTTTCCTTCCTGTTCTGCTGTCCCATGTGGAAAACCATGAGAGGACCTCCCCCACACCCCTTTTGTCTTTCTCCCAGACTGTGACTACCCACAGGGGGTATCTCAAAGAATTACCTACCAATAATGATTGCCACTGCAAAACCTCTTGCCACACACTGCCACCGTTTTTCTTTCTGCTTTAATTGTTTTTCTTCCATTAGACATCTGAGAAAGTCACTCCACATCGCCCATTTCATGCAGAGATACAAGAACTCTGCTGTAATTGTATTTTTGATTACTTTCTTGATTTTTCTTTATATCCCCTAGGCAAGATGCACACTTGCTATTTGCTCTGCATACCCTATCTTTCTGCAGCTTCTAAACTGAGGAGGACATTATGTTTGCCAGTCATCTCTGTCTGCAAAGCTATGCAGCTGCATCTGAATTTTCTCTGGGTCTTGCAACTTTTCTATATTGAAAGACAACTGAAATACACTACTCTTATAAAGCTGCTTTTCCATTGCAGAAAATGGTGAAGTATCACAAGAATGTTGTTCTGATGCCAGGAGGGAGRAGGGAGAGGTTTGTACTGATTGCTAATAGGAAGGGAAATAGCCTTGGAAACAATCCCCTTATTAAATGTGGTCTGCACAGTGAAAAGCCTGGGAAGCCTTTCTAAGGCTTCTCACATTTAGGCTTCGTGCCCAAGCTCAGGGTTTCAGACACGGAGGTGATTTCAGAATATCACACAAGGGGAACCATTTCAGCAAAAATATCAAGGTTGCACAATTCATTTATCAAACTGTCTTGGATCACCGTGCACATGTTCTTTATTGGCATGTGACTCCAGAGGAACAGAAGTAACAATTTCTCCCCAGACCTCCAAATAGCCATTGTTCGGCTGGGCTATCAAGGAAATTTCAGGGCAAACAGATAGAGCTCCTGTGAACATTCCCAAGGCCAACTAGAGGTTTCTTCCCCTGAGTAAGTGTAATTTTTTGTGCCTCCTCCCTTTACAAGTCTTCCCTAATCTTAAGAAAACCTTGAAGCAGTAGTATTAACAGTCTTGATAGCCTGAAGATATAAACAGTGCAGAATATGTAGGGGCAAGTAATATATTTTCCTAAAGAAGGACCTGTGCCTGAAGGCTTGTCTGCTTTTTTTCCCCCAACTTTATCAGCTGGTCTAATAAAAGATATTACCTTTCCCTACAAATGTTGCCTTACTTATTGGAACAGTTGCCTCCAGGGTATAAAACACTTAACTGTGTGTAAAACTCCAGTGTCAGGGTGATAGAAAGGAGTTCAATGGTGTGATTTCCATGCCCTGAGCCAACTGGCAAAAATTAAAACAAGATGGGATGAACACTATCCACCCTTATCGTTCTGCACATCATTAATGTCCCATACACCCCAGCTCTGTGTCAGTAATTTTGTCTTTCCTACCTCTCAACTGTGTGGAATAGCTCTTTTCTATCACAGAAATGCACACTGAGTAGCATCTTTTGGATGTTATCTCATAGAAACAGCAGCTCTTATGGTTATGCTTGATGAAACTTTTCTCTGCCTTCTGATTATTTTCTTGGTTGCTATACTGCTGTACATTTTGTTTTGTTTATTACAAGTGAGCTTTGGAGAGATGAAATAAAAAATCCCACTGTGACTGAGTAGACTGTTTTTCCTTTAAGGATCACCTAAATGTTGACAACTTTGTTGCAAATCTTAAAGGACTGTTTTTAATATTTCAGGTGAACTTTCTGTGGAAGGCATACAAGACCCATTCCTTGTTAGTGTCCATATCATCACAGACCCCGGTGAATCCAAGGCTCTCCAGCAGGCCATTGATAAACTTCTGGCTTGGATCCATCCAGACCTCCAGCTATTCCAGGTCTCAGAAAGACGAGCKCCCCGAAAGCGCAGGAAGCCGGGCAAGGCTGGTGTTTCCCAGCCAGCCCTTGCTGTCATTCTGTTCCTGCAGGAGGAGTATGGAGAGGAACCCATCTTGCAGCTCCATGAAACTTTCCAGCGGCCACCTTGGCATTACCACCACACGGAGCTAATGCATGGGAAATTCCTCCCCTACATGCCATGCAGCCAAGATTTCTACACTTTGGCTCCAGAGACTCCCCTGTGGGCCATTCGCCCAGTGCACTATGGGAAAGAAATGATCCGCTTCACCATATACTGCAGGAATGAAAATTTCGTGGACATTTTGAAATTGTATGAGTTAATATTGAAGAGACCAGTGTGCCAGAAAAAAGCGGACTTTTGTGTTTTTCCTGTCTATTCTAACATGGAAATAGACATTCAGTTTTCTTTAAAAAAACTCCCGAAGGGCCAGGTGCCAGTGAGGACAGAGTCTGCTGTGCTGGAGTTCAGAGTGAAAGATGTGGGGCAGCTTGTGCCTCTCTTGCCCAACCCTTGCAGCCCCATCAGCGAAGGCAGGTGGCAGACAGAAGACCACGATGGGAATAGGATCCTTTTGCAGGTAAACTCAGTACACAGGGAAATAGAGGCACATTTCTTGGGTTTGTGCAGGAAAGCTTAACCTGAATTGACAGTTGACCTTTTTTTGGTTGGTTAGTTGGTTGGTTGGTGGTTTTTTTGTTTTATCCTTGAAGAAAAAGTCAGGACACTACTGCTGCAGAAAGAATTTGAAGCCTCTTGCTGTATTATGAAACTGATGACAAAAGCAGTGAATGCTGCTGTCCAGATATCAGTCAATCTTAGTTTATGCTAAGAGTGATGTGAGATGAGACAGCTGTTTAAAGAAATGAGGAGAGAAGGAATTATGAGCCCGAGTAGAGAAATTATGGCTGGTGAGTGTAGTTTTATAAGAAGTATGGGCACRGAACTGTCAGGGAGTTTTACAATAGCCCTCAGTTATGAGACTTTCATGGAAGACAAGCAGAAGTCCTGATGGTACTCATTATTTTCTAACATCACTGKCTGACAAACTGCATCTCTCTTTTGCACAGTGATTATCAAGATGAAGGAAAAGAAATGCACCCTGAAGAGCAGCGTAAGAGAGACATTCCCACAGACTGTCTTTTTAAACTRCTCTCAAGTGCTCATAACCGAGTCCTGAGAGCTTGTTTGTTAGGATGTCTGTAGGAACCATATCTGAGCAATTTGTCAGCGTGCTTTGCTCCACTGCACCACATCCAAGAGAGATAAAAGGATAAGCAGCAAGCCCTTAACAGCTGCATGCCCTGCAGAGAGGGCATCTGTGGCAATCCAGAGCCAGGTTAATGTGCATTCTTGCACCTCAGAGGTATTTATTGCTCCTTGCATTCAGATCAAGGAGCCCAGTCCCRCACCTTTACGAGGCTGTTGTTCAGATTTCAAAGAGTATTTTTTTGGGGGTGAATTTCATTTATATGGCTTGTCAGGTTGTCTGACCTTATTGCTGTGGAACGAGAAGGGTGGGTGCCATCCTTCCTCCGTACAGATCTCCCAGCATGCAGAGAGGTAGGAACAGTCCTCTGTAGGACAGTGCATCTGGATCTGTAGTTTCTGGGGCTGAAATTCCAGGTACACAGGACACCTCTGCTCTGGTCAGTCACATTCAGGTGGTGGTGAAAACTTTCAATGCTGCTTTGCAGATGTCACCCTCAGAGCAATCCCATGCCAGAGCTGAATAGCGTTCATATAGGGCTGAGGAGGGCAGCTTCCTTGTCCACCTGGCAATCTCTGATTTTTCAGGGTTACTGATTGCACTTTGGGTAAATCTGTGTTAGCCTGACATAAGCTGCAAACTGAAGCTGACAAAGTTCATCATGAAACTTACAGACCACCTATGTCCTCCTTTCCATGTTCTTTCTCAGGATGTTTCTGCTATGTGATAYAACTTTGGTTTATGGGATCTTACACTGGTTTTAAGTAAACTGAAGGGAAGGATCAAAAAAAAAAAAAAAATGGTTTCTAAATAGGGCTTTTGGTTTAAACACAGCAAATTTTCAGGAGTAACAAGGGCCAGGCAGCATAGAGGTATAGTGAGACTTGCTGATCAAAGAAAATCAGAGTAAGATTTTGGCCATATGTACCAAAAGTGAAGAGCAGAAGTCTGCCTAGTGTGGCCAGTGAGTACAAATAATTTTCATTCCTATTTTTGGTGAGGATGATGATTCTGAATAGGAGAAATAAAAGGGCAAACAAGAATGAAGTTTCCACAGCATTAGTGATAACTTTCCCTTCATTCCAGTTATATTRGTTTAAACAATGACCTCTCAGTATTTTCTAGCCTGCCTATCAATTGTTACTTAGTAATAATCAGAATGTTTTTGTTTCCTTTATAYAGATACTGCACCTTTTAAAAATTATAATTGTACCAAAAAAGGTAGATTAACATTCCTGTTAAATTGCAGGCAGTATTTAAAGTTTGAGTATTCATCCACGTTTAGGCTTAACAGGACGTGACCTCTTGCATGTCCTTATGGGCACTTGGATACTTGCCAGCCAGATTGATCCATGTTCTTAATCCATTTTGCAAATGCAATTATCAAGGGGCTTAGATAAAGTCAGTTCAAGAGAAAACAAAGTTATTCATGGATAAGATAAATCTGTTTAATACCAAGAAACTGTTCCTTCCTTTTTCAAGGAAGCCTTTCAGAATTATTTTGTCACAGTAGCTTTTACGTGTCAGCAAATGGCTCYAAGATTGAAGATACACAACAGCTGAGGCAACTGAGGGTTCAGCTGGCTGGAGTAGGAGCAGGAGCAAGGCTTAGGAACACGATTGCATCCTGTGGGAAGACACCCACAGCTTCACCAGAGCTAAGCCCAGAAGCAGGAGCTCTGAGGAGCTTTTGTCAGAGCATTGGGAAGAATATGTAAATAATGTAGCTAAGCATATGCTGTGTATTGGTATAATGAATATACTGCCGGATTTATAGGTCTTGTCCAGACTCCTGGCTGCCTCTGGGCATAATCCACACAGAGACAGATGAAGTGCTAATCAACTTGCACTCCTGGCATTGCGATGTGGGAAACAGGAAAGGTTAATAACTGATTGGGCTGGCTTGGCCATGCATGTTTGGGAAGGATAGTGAGCAGAGAGGAGAAAGTGTGCAGATGGCTTCTTGAAATTACGATAACATCTCTGGATAGGGTAGAAAAAGTAAAATAATATTTTGGCAGGCTTTTCTAGCCACTCTGCATGAGATGAAACATGCAGACATAGTCAGGAGGAAGGTGGGCTGCAGCAAAAGGAGTGTCTTACCTAGGTAGAGACTCAGCACTCAAGCACAGGACTTGCTGCTGTTTTACATGCCAGAGAGCACCTATACAGTTTATGAGACGGCTATTTTCTGCCTAATGTTGATTTATAAAGCATCCTTGAAATAACACTGAAAATGTTACAGATCACAACTTATGAGGAGGTAGAGGGATTTTTTTTTAGCTGATTTTCTGAATTAATTGGCCAATGTCCTTATCTGTACCAGGCAATTGTAATCTTAAGTGAAGAAGTGGTATAATCATGTGTTTTAGGAGCAGAGATAGTGGCCGTAACTGAAGCAAGGAGCTAGGACAAGAGGACTCTTAGACAATGCAGAAAATACCTTGTCTTACATATATGGGCAGGGGTGGGTGTTACTGAGCTGATGAGGTCAAAATAATTACAAAATATGAGGTTTGGACAAAGACTTTCTTCTCCCAGCCTTATCTGAGACTAAAAGAAACATTTTATTCTCCTGTGCAGCACAAAGAATGGCTTGCCCCTCAAACCTACCGTGGCCAAGGAGAGGCAAATCTCAGAGACTCAAGGCCCAGTTATTTTTCCATTGAGAGGTTTTGGAGATGAATCAGTGAGGTCATGGCTACACTTCAGCTGACCACCAAACCATTCCAGACCTCACCTTGATGGTCATCTAGCATTCATATGACCTTGATCCAATATGTAATGATCCAGAAGCTTTACTCAACCTGCTGCCATCTTGGGTATGGGCCCTGAACTTTGTGGCACCTCTGTTCCAGAAAAACAGGCAAAGAAAGGGGATTTTGCAGGGAACAGTTTAATCTGCAGGAAGGAAAATGGAGGTGAGAAAAGACCTTCAAGYTTGCTAAATTAAATAGTGCAGATGAAGCAGAACTGAACACAAAGAGGAATAAAGAAAATAAAAGCATCTGCTGGCACAGGTTGCCCAGAGAAGCTGTGAATGCCCATCCCTGGAAGTGTTCCAGGCTAGGCTATATGGGGCTTTGGCCAACCTGGTCTAGTGGAAGGTGTGCCTGCCAATTGCAGGGAGATTGGAGCTGTACAGCCTTTAAAATCTCTTCTAACCCAAACCATTCTATGATTCACAACAAACAAGGATGTGTACAGGGCACCTTTACAAAAATTACATTTAGTTTCTTTTGAAACTGGTGAAAAGGACACACTTTTGGAACAAAAATTGACTCAGTCAAGAGAAGAACCTTAACCTGATTTAATTAATCTGTAAATCTAACCCTGCTTTTCAAAATATTTTCATCTATTTTTCCTTTCCTTTTTCTGACATAGGTGTTTGGTTGTCCTTCATGCTAATTAAAGGGCTGAGTTTTGGGGGAGCATGAGAATCAGTCACTAACTCATATAAGAGATTTTTCACTTGTTTTTCTTCAGCCTAAGGTGCTTTATCTTTTCTGTTAGTCCAGTTATATTCCATGGCATACTGGCATCTCTTAAGATTATACACCCAGCAAAAATTTTTGAGAGTGAATATTTTTTGTGTCACAAAGCACCCAAATTCCCTAGTTTTGTGAACATACTACAAGCCACTTTTCAAAGAGGTTCAGTTTKAAATCAAAACTGTACATTAGGCCTTTTTGATATTCAGTAATGCTGACAGTATTTTGCCTTTCAAGTAAGACCTACTATGATGATACTGAGCACTAATCTCTGCCACTTTTTCTTGTGTTGATTTTTTTTTTCCTGGATCAATTCCACTGGTTTTAATACAATTAAACAAACACCATTGCACTCCTGTTGAGCAAGGCAGGCAAAATCTGGGCTGGAGATGGTGATGTCATTGCTGTGCTGGCTGGGTCCTGACCTCAGCAAAGCCTTGCTGGCAGTTCTTAATGCAGATAATGCTTAAGGAGATCTCTGTCTGCTTTATTAAAAAGCAGATAACTTAAAATAGACCGCAGCAACACTCATGGATTTTTTGTGTTAAGTCCAGGCASCCCAAGTTGAAAGTGCATTTCTGCGAGGTTTGCCCCAAGTTGTTTATGGCACTCCCAGATATACATCATGAAATTCTTCTGCAGCCYATTGTAAAACACAAAGGCTCTAAATCTCTCCAGGCTTCACAAAGATTTGTGCAGAGATTATAAATGAGCAGCAGATTAGCACCAGATGAAAAAATCTGTTCTGTGAGAGAGCTAATCTGTTCAGTCAGTGGCCAGGTTTGCTGCACGTCTTTGCTGCAAGCTCTGACAAATCCATCTCCCTGCATTTGGAATTTCGGTCAAAATCAACATGTCACTTTGGATCGTGTCTTTGTCCTCTCAGATGGCTGGTGCCCTCTCTGGCATCTCTCTGGTTCTGGTGCCAGTTGCAGGCAGCACGGCTGTACCAGAGGCAGGGAGACGGGACTCTGCCAGGCAGCAGGGAGGCAACAGGCAGTGCTGAGAGCATTAACAAGTCATGAGAAGGCTGATGATGAGGACTTGGAAAAAACAAGAATTCAGAAAAGCTGCAACTGTTTTCAAAGCCAGTGGCAGGATTAAGGAGGCCGAGAAGCCTCCTCAAAAAAATGAGGAGGAGCGGTTATGTGAGCGCACAGGCTGCATGCAGCACTCGGTGTGCCGTGCCAGGGTGGCACAGGGAGCACCATCAATGGCCTTGGCACAGGGCTAGGACCTAGTTTTGCCTGACTTTTAATCCTGGCTAAATCATTGAATCCCCTCTGTGATCTCTGGCAAGTTAGAGAATGTAGATATAGAAAAGTCTTATTAGCCCACGTAATCCAGTCCTCTACAATATAGGATTAGCCTGTAATCTTTATTCACTAGTATTTCTTGGGATGGAGCTTCTGACACTCTACCTGTAGTACAGTATTCTACYTGCAGTGCACTGCTGCTTCTTGTATTGTCTGGTGTTCTCAGCCAGGAAAGTCCTCAGTTACATTGCWTTAAGACAAAAGTAATAAAAGAGTAACTCCTTATTATTCCCCATTTCTGGCCATATAATGAAGAGCAGCATTGGGAAAGAGGTTTTCAAAATCTTAACTCATCTAAAAAAAATGATCGGGGTGAGCAGTTCCTRCTATAACAGAGCTGTTCACAAATAATCTGTATTAATGGTGTCACTTGACCTGCCCCGCCACTATTCTGGGAGCAGGCTGTGCTTGCCCCCTTCTCCTCACCATCCACCATTACCTCCTTCCAGGCCAACTGGGTTTGACCAGGAGATTTGCAGCAAATACCTTGTATAAAATGAAATACCGATATTTGTCCACAGGAACATAAAAAGAACTAAGAGAGAAAAAAAAAAAAAAAAAAAAAAAAAAAAAAAAAAAAAAAAAAAAAAAAGCTTAAAATAGCAAAACCCTGAAACTGATGTCATATCTAAAGTAGATTGTCAGCTACAGTCTGTGTTCTCCCTGTAGATGATGGGTGTGTGCTCAGTACAGCCCAAAGATATAGAAAGCAATTCAGCTAACTAACCACACACAAGAATTTTTTCAGGAAAACCTGAATTGCTCTCCAGACCCYACTGGCTGTACTAACTAGACAGCTAAATCCTATTAATGATGTCTGTGGGCTCTGCCTGACATACAGGTRGTAGATGGGTGGTATGGCCTGCACAAGGTAAAGCCAAGGCTTTTGTCTTGCCCCCAGAACTCTCTGCAGTGCAAGGACACATCTGTTCCCAAAAGCCTTATGTTTTCAGTTTTGTCCAAGTTGCTGCCAGTGGTCCCATCCTTACCTTTTCACAAACAGGAAGACTGTACTTGCTTGGATCCTTAGTTTCTGTGGATGTTTGATCTGCCAACTTATCAAYTGAATCTCCAAAAACACAAGTATAGCATAAAAATAAGTTATGGTGAGGCAATCCATGATTTTCTTTCTCAGAAGTTTTCTGGAGTTAGTTGCTTCTATTGATTCACTGAGCATGGTACTTGAGCTCATGTAGTGTATCTGATAACAGAGCCACTGCAGAGAAAAAAACTGGTACCTTTGGTTAATAATAACAAAATATAATGAGGAGTATTTTCTTGGTCAAACACATCAAAAGACCGCAATGATCTGTTGGTGGACTTTCAGCATGTCAAATTCTTATTTCTGGGTTATCAGAAATGTCTTCAGTTAAGAAACAGCTGTTATTTCCTTCATGGACAAGTTTTTTATCCTGCTGAGTAATTTTTAAACAAATTGGCTCACATATTGCACTGCTAATATTATGTGTAGRGGTCTAATGTGGTTTATGGCTAATGTCTTGTCGACAATTAACTCATTACATTTGACTTTTTTGTACTCAATTTCTTCACTGATTCCTGTAATTCTTTATGACAGTAAGGGAACAGCTTACTGTATTACACAGAAATAGGTTATGAGTTAATACACTTCATTACAGATACGTATATATTATATATATATATATATATATATATAATCAGCTGCAGCATCTAAATGAACTTCTGTGGTTTGGCTGTCCTACAGTCTCTAGTAGGCGATCATGAATGAGAAAAGCATTTTTTGCAGATGTGTAAATCCTTTTTTGCCCATAAAATCACTTCAATAAAAACCAGAAGATGGCTATGACAGATCTGGGTCACCAAGACAATGTGATGTGCACTAGCAAGATGTTAGAAGCAGTGATGTATGGAGCTTTTTTAGAGACAGGATAAAAAGAACCTCCTTGGTTGCCAGGTCTCAGCTCTTTCTATCACGTCATGTAATCTTTTYGGTAAAATGAACAAGCTCTGTCTTTATCCATTACTCGCCCCAGAAGACTCTTCTCCTTCTGTTGTTATTASAAACCTTTTCTTAGTTTGTGGTTCTGKTTTTTTTCAYGGATAGTTCATTTTTTTTTTTCYGTGCTCCATCTCTTTCAGTTCAAATTTATTCTTTTTCACATRGGAGTGATTGGAGTCATGCACAGCATTCCAGATGAGCCATAGCAGTGTTGTCCACAGTGCTTTTCTGAACCCGCTTGAGACTGCCCAATACMATGTTGTCACAACCTTGTCGCTTTAAGAACAGAAAGTGGTCAGGATACCCAGTTCTTTCTCCTCTCCTGTTTCCAACTGGCAAGTCCCATAGCTGAAATTATTGTTTATTCTCAAGAGTATGATCTTGCACTTTGTCCCATTAGTTCTGTCCCTTTTGAGGCAGAGATCAAGCATTTTGTATTATGTGAGAAATCCCTGTAAGAAGACTTTAAATTAAACTTCCTGGAATGCAAATTTCTAAAAGCCTCACTGAAATAAGTGGGAAGATGAAAAACCTTAAGTTTGCTCAAAGACAGTTGAGTTACCCAGACATCAGTGTCTAATTCCATAGGAAACCCACCTGGCCTCCAGCTCCTTCTTGAGAAGGATGTTGACTCACCATTTGTCACAGCTTCTTTCCCTGTTCAAATGCTTGAGTATCTGATGGGCAGGCAACTGAATCCTACCCTAGGACTGAGATTCAGGTCCAGGTTTGGATCATAACCATCAGTTTGGATCTTCAGCCCAGGTGTCTACATGCAAATTGAGTGTGTGTCTGTAATGTCAAACTAGGTAAGAAAGAAAAGGTGAAACTGTTGAAGGAAGTAGTAAATTCCCACAAAGAGAACAGAATGAGCTTGCTTGCTGAAGACTTTTTGATGTTTCAAAAAAGGACAAAAAAAAAAAAAAAAAAAAAAAAAAAAAAAAAAAAAAAAAAAAAAAAAAAAAAAAAAAAAGGAAGAAATGAGAAATTATAACTGTATCATACAGTTATTCTATTTCTTTGTTTTTGTTCTTAAGCTGTCCACTAAGGTATTAATGTTGGAAGACAGAATATGAATGAATTTGAACAAGTCAATAGGAAGTGAGAAATTCAARCTAGCATAATTCAGCCCACAAGGCAAGGCTTCTCTACCATTTATTCTCGTTGTCTTTGAGGCTCCTTATGTAAATATTTTGGATTTTGGCAGGGTGGTTTGTCTTTGTTATTGCAGTGAAACATTTGCTGTAAGCATACTGACTAAAGTCTGCTTCGTAATCATTTGCAGTAACAACTCAGAGATGGAGACTTGGGGTTGTAAAACTGCCAAAACCGTATTAATGTGATCTTCTTTTCTCTCTCTCCCGGCTGCAGCAAGTGCACAGTTGGTGTAGGAAGGCTGCAAAGCAGAACAAGCAACTGTATCCATCTGTGTCAATAGATTCCAACTTCACCACTCTGCCAGCCTTCCTTCCTCGGAGCCACCGATCTGTCTCTGAACAGCCACAAGAAATGGGTCAAAAAAAGGTACATCACACCAATGGCCTTGGTCATTATCTTGGTTTCTCCCAGCAGGACTTGAGACACAGTGACCAAGGAGATTTCACACGCAGATCCAGGAGTGCCTCCAGCATTTCCTGGTCATTTCAACGAAGCAAGTCTCTGTTCTGCTTGCCCACAGTGAACTCCTCTTCAGCTTCAGAGACATTTCATTTCAGTGAACCATTTCAGTTTTTAAATGCCGGGTCACCTGCAACCAGGTTGAAAACATGGAAATGCAGCCCCAAGCTTAACATTGATGACTTGGAAGGTGCCCAAGAGACTGATGTGGACACAGGGATGAAGCTGTCCTTCTCAGACCTGTCTGTGGTTTCTGCATACTCTGCCCTTAATGGATTTTGCAGTGAGTTGAAAGACTCCCTTCCACCACAGAAACAAATTGTCAGTAGGGCTAAACAAGCAGCCACCAGCAGAAGGCCTGCATCAGCCATGTGCAATAACTTTGAGTCAGTTGACAGTGCRCTGCCCTCTCCTTCAGAATGGTCTTCCAGCTCTTTCATGTCAGCATCTCTCTCCACRCAGCACAAACAGCCCTTGAGAGCAGCTCCATGTTCTTTGGATGATCATGTYTGCTCAGCTTCACCAGTTAATGAAGAAGAATTCTACATCTGAGCTTTCTCTACCTTATACCTTCCAGAACAAATGTGAATGACAGCAGTGGGTCCTCCTTGAGTTTACAGAAGGTTCCTTGCTGAGGAGAAGGTGATGCAGAAGAGTGTGTTAAATATTTGAAGAAAATACTTGGRACCCTCTGAGGTTGAAGGAAATGGCAGAAGAAGAACACAGTATTCCACTTAAATCTGGCAGGAAATGAAGACTAATTTTGTCTTCATTTAAACAAACAGCTTTACTGAGAAATTCCGTTAACTCAGAAAGGGGTCTTATTTCCTTTCACAGGTTCCAAAGGCAGCTCTAAGCACAGCAGGTCCCAGCAGCACAGCCTCAGTAGGGTCAGGTAGGAAGTGTCTAGAGARGAAACGCTGCTCCTTCCAACCTTTGCGAGCTGGCAGTGATGAGGTGGGGCAGAATCACACAATCAYTAATGTTGGAAGAGGTCTTCAAGATCCTCCAGTCCAAGTGTTGACCTAGAACTACCACAATCATCCCCAAATCACATCCCCAAGTGCCACATCCAGACACTTCCAGAGACTGGCCCCACCACCTCCCTGGACAATTAATTCTAAGGCCTGACCGCACTTTCAATTAATCCTTTTTTTTATAATATCTAATCTGAACCTTCCCTGGTGCACATAAAGGCTGTTTCTTCTCGTCCTTTCACTCAAGACGTGGCAGAAGAGACCACCCCCCCCTTCAGTGCAACCTCCTTTCTGGTAGTTGTAGAGATCAGTGAGGCAACCCCTGAGTCCCTTTTCTCCAAACTAAACAACCCCAGTTCCCTCAGCTGTTCCTCATCACACTTTTGCTCCGTTGCCCTTCTCTGGACATGCTCCAGCACCTCAATGTCCTTTTTGAATTGTGGGGCCCAGAAGTGAACACAGGATTCAAGGTACCACTTTCACCAGTGCCAAGTACAGGGGTCAATTACTGCCCTGGTCCTGCTGGCCATACTCTTTCTGGCACAGGCCAGGTTACAATTGGCCATCTTTGCCACCTGGGCATATTTCTGGATCATTTTCAGCCAGCCATTGACCGGCACCTTCAGGTCACTCTTCCCCCAGCCCGTAGCAGTGCGCAGGATTGTTTTGAACTGAGTGCAGGACCGAGCACTTGGTTCACCTCACTGACCCCACAAGACTGTCCTTGGTCTATCCATCCAGTCTCTCACAATCCCTCTGCAGAGCCTTCCTACCCTCCAGCAGATCAACACTCCTGCCCGTACTAGTGTCATCTGTGAACTTTCTGAGGACACACTCAGYCCACTCATCCAAATCATTGATGACAATGTGGAACAGAGCTGGTGCCAGTACTGAGTCCTGGGGAGCACCAGTAGTCACCAGCTGCCCACTGGATTTAGTTCTACTCACCACCACTCTCTGGGTCCAGCCRCTTTTACTCAGTGAAGAGTCCACTCATCCAAGCCATGAGCAGCCAGTTTCTCCAGGACAGTGCTGCAGGAGACAATTTCAAATGGTTTCCTGAAGTCTGGATACACAACATCCACAAACTTTTCYTCATCTACAAAGTGGATCATTTTGTCATAGAAGGAGATTGGGTTGGTCAAGCAGGATCTGCTTTTCCTAAACCTGTGCTGGCTGAGCCTGAGCCCTTGATTGTCCTGCACATGCCATATGATGGCACCCAGGATGACCTGCTCCATGGTCTTCCTCAGTRCCAAGGTCAGGCTGACAAGCCTGTAGTTCCCTGGATGGTCCTTCCAACCCTTCTTGTAGAAGGCCATTACTTTTGCTAATTAACAGTCTGCCAGGACTTCTCCCAGGACTGCCTGGGAAAGTGTTGAAAGTGGTTTGGAAAGCTCTTTTGCCAGCTCCCTTGATACTCTCAGGTGGACTACATCAAGGTACATAGACTTGTGTCCCATGGGGGCAGAAGGTCATTAACCCTTTCCTCCTGGATTATGGGGACTTCACTCATCTCCTCACCCCTAACCTCCAGCTCTGATTGCTGCATGTCCTGAGGGCAACTGGTTTTGGTGTTAAAGACTGAGGCAAAGAAGGGATTTAGTACCTCAGTCTTTTCCTCACCCCTTGACACTGTGCTACCCTCTGCATCCAGCAAAGAATGGAGACTCCTTAGCCCTACTTTTTCTGCCAATGCATTTATAGAAGCTTCTCTGGAAGAAGTTTCACTCCTTCCCCAGGGAAGTTCCACTATGTCTCTTACTTTGACAGACCAGGATGCAGAAAGTGCCAAAAGGGAGACCTTAGTGAACATTTTCAGCCCCCTACCCAGAAAGCCCATCCTTTCCAATCAGAAGGGAGCTGTTTGGGCTGTTGTCTGAACCACTGGTACAGACAGTACCAAGTAAAACATGTTTGCTACTTCTCACTCAGGCAATACAGCTTACCTTCTCGGAATACAAACCTAGAAAGATAACCCAGCATTTTTATGTATTGCTACACTACTAGACCCARATAAAAGACAGCTTCCTGTTTTTAAGGGGTTGTTATTTTTCTGTTTAAAATCATTAATGCAGAAATTTATTCTTCATATTTCCAGTGCAAGCATACTTCTTTCTGGGTAAAACATATTTCTTCTTGAATAGCTCTCTCCAAAGGGAAAACAAGACAAAATTTACTGACTTTTAGAAGATGTTTTAAAAATATACTTTCTTGATAACCTGTTTTGCTCTAATTAATTTGGTGTTAAAAAAAAAGTAAGTAAAAAAGTTGCTAATGTGACAGCTAAGTACCTTCAGCAGGATTTAAGTCATATAAACAGATTTTATAGTGCATATTCTGGAAAGTTACATTTTTGGCTGACAAATGTCACTGGTTACAACTCTGGTCGAGCCACTGGGAAAATGACCTTGTTAAAAGGTGTGTGTGTGTATGATGCTGGATGTTACCTATATGCAGGTGTAGATGCTGAAGACCTACCATGATGGCACTGTGGTGTGTGGAATAAAAACTCATTTTTGGAGAAAAATATTTGCTATATTACCAGGTAATTTTAATCAAAAGAACTTTAGAGGGAAAAAGAAATAAAGGTGAAAAAGCACACACAWACTGTAAATAATAGTTATAAAAAGTGGAACAGCTCCTCTGGCCCATTTCAGTAAGTACACAGTTTTTACAAACTATTCTGGAAGAAAGTCTGTTGAAAAATGAGTACAGATTTATAGGGGAGGAACCTGCACCCTGAGTCCAGAAGAGGCCAGAGGGATTGTCAAGGCTTTTTTCTTTTTCTATTGTTYTCTCCACACAGGAAAAAAAGTCTCAAACTGAAGTCCAAATCTCCTCTTTGTGAGGTGCTGTCATAGCATTTACCAGGGGTACACTTTATCTTTTGTGCTAAACACAATGAATAAATCAGTTAATCTATTCAAGGTAAAGAGCACAGAAGATCATCAGCCTTCTCCTGCCCTCTAAAACTATTTAGGCTTACTGCAGTTTCGGGTAAACTGTTCTCTTTCTGGGACCAAAAAGAGCACTACTGAAGGATTTGTCATGGTGTGCATGTGTTTACCTGCTCTATGCTCCTTCAGACCCCAAACAGCCTGTCCTCTGTCATGAGCTTTAGATCAAATCCCTCCCTGGAACACAGTRAATCTGATTTATCTAAAGTTGCATTACCATGCTATTGTTTGTACCCTGCCAAAATATATAAAACACTGTGAAGTCAGACTAGCCACTTTTTCCATCAGCTTGCATTTCACCATACAAACAGTGATTCTAGGACAGTCAGCATCCACAGATTTAAATCTATGCTTCATTGTTTTCTATCAYAATCACTGTATTTTCACTGTATTTTAATAATACAGATAACATTTGATCTGAACATGAAATAAAAAACTTCTTTGAGCCAATGTAGCTGTCTGATCCTGACATCATGCCAACACTGAAACTCTGGACAAAAGCTGTTGAGGTTTTTAGTGGAGAGGAGGCTTTGAACCATCTTTCCACCTAAGGCATGCCTCTAGAAGAAGGAAGCACTGGTAGTGGAGATCCACAGGGAAGCCCAGGATGGCTCAAGTGTCAGTCATGGGGTTTATGTGTGATATTAACCAGCAGATCCACAAGCGTCTCAGCTCCAGATTTTGCCACAGTAATCCTGATGGGAAGAGAGCCAAATGACTGTCCACAGACTCTGAATTTGTGCCGTCCCCACTGGTTCTGTCTCCAAGTATTTCTGTTCTGTTTACTGATACCTAACTAGAGATTAAAGTTTTATATGTTTACGTTGATGGTGCTTGTAACCAAATCTTGTAAAAAACCGAGTGTCTTGCTATCGGGAAAAACAGAGGTGATARTACAGAAAACTCCTTGTCTATAAAAAAGAAAGCCAGATTATGGTGTGTTTCATTGAAGGTAGACTTCATTAATTCTCTTCCTGTTMGGTAAGAAGGGGGTCATCTCTTCAGAGAGTTGAATATGCACAAGTTTCATGGCGTTTACTTATTGTGTTGATTAAATTAAGAACCATGTATTTTGAGAACTGCAGGTTTTTCCTGAACTTCTTCTCACCCTACAATGTGCACTGCTTCTGTGAAATAAAATAGAGATGAAAAGTCAGTTGTACTTAACTTTCTGCGTGTTCATTTATGAAGTACTTACAGAGTATTTTAACTAGGCTTCCAAAATGACTGCAGTGCCACAAGCTCTAAAGCTTTTTTTTCAGTGTGCATTGGTGGGATAATTACAAAACAAACACAGCAAAAATATTTTTATGTTGGAATCAGTTTTGCCTCTGCAGACTGGGTCTTTTGATTCTCACTGTGGTGTTGTAAATCATTTTCKCTAGTAAAGCTGAATGATAAAATAGAAGCTGTGACATGTATTGGTAGTCTTGCRTGCTCAGATCCCATCTTGGTTTGTTTGATGTACATTGGTCTTCATAATAGTCYCCATAATTCATTCCTCTTATTTTCATCAGTGTGTGGTGTTACCTATTATGCATTTCTTTATTCCCCCCCATGGGACATTGTCTGAATGTCAGCATTACATTGTATTTGCAAAGCTGAGTAGGTTTGGCTTTGTTAGGTTTTTATGGTTAAACAATGTGGGGTTTATACATATTTTTATGGGACTTTTTGAGCTATAGAAATATCAGGAGTTGGAAGAAGCCTCTGGAGGTTGTCTAGTCCACAGCATCTGCTGAAAGAAAGCACAAAGATGCCCAAGTCTCAAAGCTTTCAAGTGAAAACAAGTTGTTCAGGACCTTGTCTGGTCAGATTTGAAAATATCTAAAGGTGGTGATTTCACAGTGTCCCAGGACAATGTGTGCCAGTGCTTACCCACTGTAATGGTGAAGAACTGCTTCCTAGTCTGCTGTCAGAATTTCTCATGTTCAAAACTGTGACCTTTCCCTCTTGTTTCACTGAACACCTCTGAGAAATCCTGGCTCTGTCCTCTCTATTATCCCACTTCAGGTGCTGGAAGACTGCAGAAGCTCTTGCAGCCATGGCCTTGTCACTCCCTCACCATGTGAACACTCTCAGGTTTGTTGTATCGCTCTTGTAGTGATGATCACAAAACTCTACACAGATGTATGGATGTGGATGATAAGTGCTCAGTAGTTAGGAAGAAGAATTTCTGTCAACCTGATGGTGGCAGCTCCCTTGTTTGTACCTCCCAGTACATGCTGTGGGCATCATGACTGCAAGGATGCCCCACTTAGTTGTGTTCAGCTTGCTGTTTACAGGGACCCCAAGGTCTCTTTTTCAGAGCTGCTTCCTGGGCAGGAGGTGCTTCCTCTTGTGCTGCCATACCGGGTTAGTCCATGCCAGGTGCAGGGCTTGCATTTGCTTTCATTGAACTTGGTGAGGTTCTCACTGGCACCTTTCCCCAGCCAGTGAAGGTCTCTGTGAGCTGTGAGCAGCAGCCCTGMCCTTCAGTGCATGTTTTGGCCATCACATTGGCCAGGTTCTGTTGCACTGTCAGTGGTGGCCCATCCARCCCCATGTGTGTCTCCAGCTTTCTGCATCCCTGACTCAGTCTTGTGATRTGATTWGTAATTTTCTCCTCGAAGCTTTGCTATGAGATACAGACACATGGCAGGCCTAACAGAACATCTTGTGARTGAAGATCTTGTGACTGAAGACAGAGGTTTTTCCAATTGGCAGATTTTTCCAGTTACAGAAGACAGGAATTTTTCTAGTCTGTCCTGAATAACTCACAAGTCATTTAAAGAAGGTTCTGTCTTTCCTTTTTGATTGATTGGGTTGTAGGAGATGCCCACAACAATATCCCTTTTGTCTCCTGACCCATGAGCTCTTGACTTTCTCACCCTCTGTTCCCTCACAAATACACATGAATTCATGCCACTCATTTGCTCAGAGCACAAACCTCATCACCGTCTGCCACCCTTCCCATGCATCCAGCCATGACAGTTCTGGACCCGACTGACCCATCAYATCTCTGAATCATCAGATTTTACATCCTGAGAGTGCTGAGATCTTTCAGGCGTGATTTTCAGATTCAGCAGCCTGAGCTTTGGCACTGGCCATCCCATTTGCCCAAYGGAATGGAGCTACCCAGCTCTGGTAAGACAGTCCCACTTTTCAAACAGCTTAGGAAGCAATTTCAAACTGTACATGTGTTAACTATTGCAAGAATCAGACTATTGGAACATATTGGTATTTCCCTCTGTTCCATTTTCTCCTATAAGGCTAAGAAGTCCTAATCCTAAACTCATTCTTCCTGGGAAAACCCTTCCATGCTTTTGTTCATTTTTTTACACTTCTGTTACCTTTATGTTGTGTTGTAGGCTTTTTGAGCTAGAAGGTCCATAAATACAGTTTTTGGAGATTTAGATGCACTCTATGGAGGTATAGAGCGGCAGTGTTTTCCATTTTATTCTGTTTCTCTCCTAGTAATGAAACTTGCTKCTTTGGCTGCAGCTGAGCCCTGAGCTACCCTTTTCATAGATATTTACATAACCCTATGGTCCCATTCCCAAGCAGAAAAAGTCTGTTGAGACCCTACAATCATATATGTAAAATTAGGTATTTTAAAAATATAATTAATTTTAAAATTAGCTACATTGAATTTCATCTGCTTTTTTTTTATTGCCCAGTTGCTGCCTATTGTGAGACTTTTCTGTGTCTTCCCCAGTTGTTCATCATCTTTACCATCTTGGATGCTTAATAACCTCAACAAACTCCCATGCCACGAAGCTCCCCTTTTTCCAAGTTTAAGTCATGCTGAGCAATGTAAGCTTGAGTACAAATCGCTGCATGTCTCCACCACCAACCTCCTTCCACTGTCAGAACTGGCTATTTATTTCTACCTTCTGCTTCCTGCCTTTTAATCAGCCCTTTATTCACATAACCTTACCTCTTAAACAATCACAGCAGGGTTTCCTGTACAGGCTTTGATGAAGGGCTTTGGAAAATTGTTCTTAGCTGCACACCTATTTGTTGATGCCCTCTGAAGCCCCAAATAGATTTATGAGGTGTGATTTCCTTTTATAAAACCATGTTGACTCTTCCCAAAAAAATCCTTAAACTTCTCTCCATTTAGATAATGACTTGTCTCTTATCTGAGCCCAAGGGTCATTTGAGCACAGAGCAATCCTCCCTGTGGCATTCTTTCCCAGCTTCCAGGATTTGGCATAGTGCAATTTGCTAAATTTACACAGAGTCCAGACTTCCAGAGCCAAAAACTTCTCTGATCACTGTGTGACCAGCTGCTACATTGGACTACCAATGGATTTTTCCTCCCTCAGTTTTGCAGATTTCTTGTTTTCCTTCCTCTGGTGTCCACAGCAGCTCAGGGCAATGAGCAACACTGAATAAATTCCCTACGTGAGAAGACAGACACATTTATCTGCAGCCTTCTCCCAGAGAGTTTCGCTGAGCACTTTCTGTTCCAGGAGAAGTCAGTGCAGACTTCTGGGCAATGTTGCCTCAGTAGCTGGGAAGATTTGTGTCCCATTGAGCTCAGGAACCAGCCAGCTTATTTTGGAAAGCCTTGCAGCCTTCCAAGGCATGAATCCTGTGGTRGGATACGTCCATAGTGGTAAATTGAAGTGGGACAAGGAGCAAGTTCAGGCAATGGATTGTTTGATTGCTTGTTATYTGTGTTTTGGGCCACTTCAAGCAGCTTTTGCCAAGACATTTCCTGGTGGTGCCCTTTGCTCCTAGGATGGTTCCCCCTATAGAAGAGGCTACATCAAGCTTCAGCCCCTCTGTCTCCAACACTCCCCCAGCACACTTCGCATATTTCTGCCCTCCCATGTTCCTTCGGGCGTCCCCCTGCATGAAACTCAGCCTCTCAGGGTCACACTGTAAAAAACACCTCTCAGCTGGGCTGCAATGCAGTCCTCACTTCAGTTCAGCTAACAACCCCCATGCACAGTGGGCTTTTGTGTCCCTGAGCTGTAGGATCCCGCAGCAGTCCAGATGGAAGCCAGGATGGCTGCTGTGTCTAGTCACCAGTGGGACATCTCTGAAGGGTGTGGACACAACTCAAACAGTGCTGGGCAGGCCTTGGAGCTGGAGAACAGCATTCAGACTGCTACCTCCTTTTTAGCAATGTACRGATAGACAGTGTTGCTTTAATTTGGCCACAGAAAGGGAGCCTTAGAAGGCTTCACAGCTCCTGGGGTATCCTGCCCCTGCTGTGACTCAGCCTCCTGCATTAAGCCTGGCTGACATTTTAATTAGTTGTTCTTTTTAATCACTTTCCTCCTGAATATGGTGCATAAAATGGAAAGTAGCTTGGTGGGTGGATGCCCATTATCCCAATCTGCCGGTCATAARTAAAAACTGCCGACTTAATGGCTCATAATGAAATGGCGGTGGAAATGGATGTAGCCAAAGCTGACCGGTCGGTAGGAGAATTACCCCGTTCACAGCGGCGTGACCGCGGAGCGCCYGTGCCGTGTGACGGGATGGCAGCAGCGCTGGCTTTGTGTGCCACGTCCCGAAGCCGCCGGCCTGCACAAGTTGCTAGTGCCATCTCGTGGTTCTCACGAGCACGAGTGACAGCGCACGGGGAGCCGCCAGCCCAGGCGGTGACGCCCGCGGGGACCCTGAGGCTCTGGCTCAGTGCCCCGCTGCCCTGGCAGCCTCCGTGCCCGTATTCCAGCCTCAGCTGCCGACGGGCTCCGGGCCGCGTTCCCACCCCGCCGCGTCTCTGCCCTCCCCTCCACGGCGAGGCAGGGGAGCGGAATAACCCACTGAGCGGCTCCGTGACCCAAAGGGCTCTGCCGCGTCCTTTCCCCGCGCCCGAGGGCGAGGAAGCAGCCACAGCCCTCGGGGCTCACTTGGGATGGAGCCGAGCATCCGCGGCGWGCGAGCCCCGGAGCACGGCACGGTAAGCCGCCTGCCTGTCACGAATTCCTCTGTTTACTTTGATGAAAATTTTAGCCCTCCTGGTACGGAGATAATCTGCTAAGTATGACCCAACTCCTGCCAAGACAATGCTTCTTGTGAGGTTAGCAGTGCTGCTGGAGAGCTCCTGCTCCTTAGGTGTAAAGAACTTGGGGACAGGGCTGCCCGGAACAGATACTCTGTAAGAATGCAACACATRATACCAGTTGTGTAATTCCTCCTACCTCCATGAATTAACAGCCATATTTTTGCAGCTCAC